GTTTCCAAGTCTTACAACTGTACAATGTTTACATGCTTTTTCGGAACAGATGGGCACTGTATTTAGACGGAAAGTTGCCTCAAATACAGGCGTAATCATCGCCGTACTAATGACCATTTAGCTTCCATTTGGAAAAGGACGGGAGTGTTCAGAATCTTCAGATTCATCCTGGAAAGTCCTCGTCTCAGTATGCCATGAGGTGAAGTACTGCAGAAGTGTACCCATCATGGTATCTGACGGAAAAGGTTGTTCGATGAACTTCAATCATTTGGTGGGCCGGTTCCCTCGGTCTGAGACTGTTATGTTTTCTGAAATTCTTTGCGGTATCGACAAATTCCAGGTCCATTTTTGACATGAAATCTGCTTGGTGTGGGGTCACAGGTGTTCAGGTGTAATGAACCCTACTGTGGGTACTTCTATCATCGGAAGTGCTTGAGGAAATGGGCAAGGAGAAATGAAATTGAACAGTTGCAGGAGTGGAGAATTCCTTTCCGCTGCCCTGTCCATCACTGCCAAGAGTGCAGAAAGGAGGGGAGTGTCGATCCAAGGAATCCATTGATCATGTGTCGACGATGCCCAAAGGCCTGGCACTTCAAGTGCCTTCCAAAGTAGGTGCTGCTGCTGCTGCCGCTTCTTTTTCTTCCCCTCCTCCTCCTCCTCCTCCTCCTCTTGTTCTTCCTTCTCCTCCTCCTCCTCTTCTTCGTCTTCCTCCTCCTCCTCCTCTTCCCCCTCCTCCTCCCCCTCCTTCTTCTTCTTCTTCTTCTTCTTCTTCTTCTTCTTCTTCTCTTCCTTATCTTCTCCTTCTTTCTTCCCTCCGTGTTTTTCTCACAACCACACACACATTTCGTGAGATTTCTCCTTAAACCACCAATGCCTCACCCAGCTGTTGATACCCACCTGAAATTCGCCCTGCGTGCCCAAAAAGAAATGAACAGGTGCACGCCTCCTTTTGGCTGGCGGCGCCAGCCATTTCGGTCCGGTAACCCGACCCCTAACCCAAAAGATGCGGCCGTATACCAGCTGCATATTTGTTTTTCAAGCTGGGTGAAGTACTGGTGGCTTAATGGTTTCTGCTTGTCGGCATATAAAGGGTCTCATAAGAGATTTCCCCATCGTTCTTCTTGGCCTGGATGGATACGTGGGCACCCTTCCTTCCTCGTACAATTGGATGCTTGGGCACTCTTGTTTTGCGGTGTATATGAGTGTTTGTCTGCCCACACTATCTTCAGGAGAAGCCTTATCTGTATTTGCTGCTGTTTTGGGGCACATGGAGGGCAGTGCAGAGCTTTAGGGTGCTCTAGGCACTGGCGTGCGAGGGTCAGGCCTGTTCTGTGGAGTGTTTGCTGACGGGTTCAAAGAGATTTTACTGACGCTATGATTCCCGTAAGCCTACTTTTTCGAAATTTTGTTTTGTGGGATCGAACTGCTATATTCCGTAGACTCGGCGTAGACCTCGCTCAAACCTTCCACATGCCGGTCTTTTGCCGGTACTGGAAGTGGTGTTGCTCACATGTCAGGATGGTAGGGCAGTCAGGCAAGCGGTCAGGCCGTTACCTTTGGTTGTGTTTCATCGAAGGGTTTCTTCTCGAACGGTCAAACGTACGGAATTGCGTCTTCTGTTTTAAGGTTGCCACCTTGCCGGTTGGTTCTTCACTTTGCAATGACCTACACAGAATCAGTTTGAGATTTATGTTGTTGTCTTGAGTATTGTTGCTTGATGGTTTGATTTGCTGAGACTGCGGTGTTCAGAGTGAGAATGCTGTTTGCATTTGCATGGGTCGAAAGTCCCTGTGTTCTCCTGCTGTGTTTTATTTGCCATGGGAAGGGGTTAGGCTAGCTTACCTTGTCGGATGTAGTTCAGCTGCCGACGCCTGCCGTAGGTATTTCAGGCTTTTTATGGTTGCCCCGACCGTATGGTCATGGCCTATAATAATTCAGTCCCCAAAGTTTATAGATAAGGAAACCACAGATGTAGGAGTGACACCGCACAGACGTCTAGGAAAGGCAGGACAGAGAGGGACAGTAGTGGAATTTGGCTAGTGCCCGATAGGGATTTTCGAGTAACTTTGGCAGGCCCGACAGAGATCCGGTAGTTTCCTAAAGGTCACGAGTAGTCAGGGCCCGTACCTAGATATCAGATGGGTTAGATTCAGGCGCTGAAGTTGGATTGCAGGTTGCGATGATGTTCCTGCGAAAAGACCGCAAGTCCTGGTAGGCCTAGCACACCGGAGGGAGATACAGTAGTACACCACAGTCAAAGAGAGGCCGGACGTCGATTTGCAATCGAGACTATTGAGTGAGGCAAGACGTCACCCGGTAGTCATGCGACTGGTCCGCCCAGAGGGTGAAGGTAGGCGGAGCTCCTGCTGAGCGGCGAAGCTCCATGGCTATGGAGTAGTACTAGTAGTAGGGTGGAGGCTTAGGGTATGGCGGTAGAGGGTGAAGCGCGCCATACCAGGTATGGAGAAGGGTTGTAGAAGGGTGTAAAGGATGGCAAGGGTAGAGAGAGAGGAACTGACATGAGAGAGACAACTTTGGCTATGGTGGACCTTCATCTCCACTTTTCTTGGTTGGCGCTGCATCGAGAAGCCCCCTGTGCGGGGTACCGGCTGTTCATGCACTTCTTCTGAGAGTGTGGTTGTGGTGGGATAAGATGGGGAGAGACATAGTCGTACTTGTGTCCTCCTTTGAACATCTGTGATGAACGTGGATGAACCGCCGTAGTTAGATAGTCAACTGAGTGAAGAAGAGTCAGGCTATGGTTGAAATGAGGACTGTAGGAGTGCTGGCAGTAAGGAGGGAGTACCCGGACAGGATTCCTGTTCCATTCGTGGATTTGTTGTTTTATTTAATTGATTGATTATTGGAAGAGGGAGAGGAAAGGAGAAGAAGATCAGAGGGACAAGAAGTGAGGTGGAAGACGTTGTTTTTTTTTTTTCTTTTTTTCTTTTTTGAAGGAAGACATTGGTTTCAACTTACTTCTTCTTCTTCTTCTTCTTCTTCTTCTTCTTCTTCTTCTTCTTCTTCTTCTTCCTCTTCTTCTTCTTCTTCTTCTTCTTCTTCTTCTTCTTCTTCGTCGTCGTCGTCGTCATCTTCGTCGTCTTCTTMGTCKTCTTCGTCTTCTTCTTCTTCTTCTTCTTCTTCTTCGTCGTCGTCGTCGTCGTTGTCGTCGTCGTCGTCTTCGTCTTCTTCTTCTTCTTCTTCTTCTTCTTCTTCTTCTTCTTCTTCTTACTCTCCTTCCTCCTCCTTCCTCCTCCTTCTTCTTCTCCTCCTCCTCCCCTCCTCCTTCTCCTCTTCCTCCTCTTCCTCCTCCTCGTCTGCTTCTGCTGCTGCTGCTGCTGCTGCTTCTGCTGCTGCTGCTGCTGCTTCTGCTGCTGCTGCTGCTGCTGCTGCTGCTGCTGCTGCTGCTTCTGCTTCTTCTTCTTCTTCTTCTTCCTATTCTCGCTCTTTTTCTCTCTCCACTTCTTTTTTGAGTGCAGCAGGTCTCGCGTTTTCTTGCAATTGAGTTTTGCATTGTGAATGGAGTAGGATCATAACAGCTGGTTTTTCTAGTTTACCGAGAAAGGGCGTCATTGCAATGTGCAAGTGTGCCTCCTTCTTCTTCTTCTTCTTCTTCTTCTTCTTCTTCTTCTTCTTCTTCTTCTTCTTTGTTTTCTTCTTCTTCTTCTTCTTCTTCTTCTCTCTTCTCTCTTCTCTCTTCTCTCTCCTTCTTCTTCTTCTTCTTCTTCTTCTTCTTCCTCCTCCTCCTCCTCCTCCTCCTCCTCCCCCCTTCTTCCTTTTCTTTGTTTTCTTCTTCTTCTTCTTCTTCTTCTCTCTTCTCTCTTCTCTCTCCTTCTTCTTCTTCTTCTTCTGCTTCCTCCTCTCCTTCCTCCTCCTTCCTCCTCCTTCTTCTTCTCCTCCTCCTCCCCTCCTCCTCTTCCTCTTCCTCCTCTTCCTCCTCCTCTTCTGCTTCTGCTTCTGCTGCTGCTTCTGCTGCTGCTGCTGCTGCCGCTGCTGCTTCTGCTTCTTCTTCTTCTTCTTCTTCCTGTTCTCGCTCTTTTTTTCTCTCCACTTCTTTTTTGAGTGCAGCAGGTCTTGCGTTTTCTTGCAATTGAGTTTTGCATTGTGAATGGAGTAGGATCATAACAGCTGCTTTTTCTAGTTTACCGAGAAAGGGCGTCATTGCAATGTGCAAGTGTGCCGTCAGGGCAACTGTGTGTGTGGCATCTGGTGGTCAAGAATGCAGATGTGGCCATCCTTGCACTCTTTTTATGTTTTTTACCCCTTGTTGGGTTTTGGATGGATGTGGGTTTGAACCCTTGATGTCTACCTTCTTCCCCCGAATACAACACATGGTCATTATAGCTGTATTTAGACAGACAGATGCCCCAAATACAGCTATAATGACCGTGCGTTTTATTCGGGGGAAGAAGGTAGCTGTTCCTGCACATCACACCTGATGCTCTTGCTCTGGTTATCTGGTTTTGTAGATCAAGTAGCCAGGATCACGCTGGCACTTATGGACCTTTTTTTTGTTGGGGGAGGGGGAGAGTGAGGGATGGGGGGAGGGGACGTTTGTTTGTTTGTTTGTTTTCTTTAGGGGGTCTGAGGGATCCGAACGTGCCGCTCCTTGATCAAATCTCTCCTTTACCATGTCGGCAGCGAACTTGCTGCTCGTCATTGCGACCTGCACACATCAAAGATGGGCAGGACCACCAAATCAGCCCCAATTCACCCACACCGGACTCTGTGTCCTCCCCCCTCCCGCCGTAGATTCCTCCACAACCACCGCCCCCTTTCAACACGGCTGGCCAAACAGGACGAACTATAAAAAAAAAAAAAAAAACAAAAAAAAAAACAAAAATTGTCAGCAGTCGCTGTCTTCGGAATTCTGCCTTCAAATCAAGTGGACGATTATAAAAATTAAAAAATAATATAACAGAAACGAAGAAAAAAAGACAAAAGGGGGTTCTGCCTTGAAATCAAGTCTGCCTTGAAATCAAGTGGAGGAGAGATGCACGCAGATGCAGGAGATATGGAGGAGAGATGGAGAGATGGAAGAGAAAGGTGGTGAATGGAGGAGAAACGAAGGTGGAGGGGATATGAGAGGGAGATGGGGATATGGAGGAGAGATGGAGGGGAGACGGCGAGATACGGAGGTGGAGGAGAGATGGACATGGAGGAGAAATGAAGGAGAGATGATGTTGCACCTGGTGGAGGCATGGAGGAGAGATGATGTTGCACCTGGTGGAGGCATGGAGGAGAGATGATGTTGCACCTGGTGGAGGCATGGAGGAGAAATGAAGGTGGAGGGTGGAGGAGAGATGGAGGAGAGATGGAGGAAAGATGGACAGGTCGAGGACAAAGGTGGAGGCATGGAGGAGAGGTGAAGGTGGAGGGTATGTGAAGGACAGATGGAGGAGAGATGCAGGAAAGATGGACAGGTGGACAAACGTGGAGGCATGGAGGAGAGGTGAAGGTGGAGGGTATATGGAGGACAGATGGAGGACAGATGGAGGAAAGATGGACAGGTGGAGGACGAAGGTGGAGGCATGGAGGAGAGATGAAGGTGGGGATATTGCGGGGAGGCTGGGATATGGCGAGCACCGAGTCCAGGAACAGGAAAACGAAAACAAAAATGAGCAGTATTTCCAGCGTTTTCCAGCGGAGGGGATATGGCGAGGAGATGGGGGGTTATAGTAGGACCTGGAGGACGACGAAGGCGAGTAGAGATGGAGGAGGAGAAGAGGTAGAGGGAGGAAAAGACGGTACATGAACCCCTAAAGTGCCCTGTACATCAAGCCCTAATGGCCCCTGCGCATCAAGCCCTACAGGCCCGTATAGATCAACATGACCCCTGCGCAAGGATGACAAACAAAAATCGATAAAAGATCGAACAAAAAAAACAGGCTCCTTCGGGACATCCGTTGCAAGGGGAACGACACAGAGATGATTACCATGACCCGGACGCAAGGATGACACACGATTCGAGAAAAGGTCAGAAAAAAAAATAAAAAAATCACAATAGATTGGATTATTTTCGAAATTTCGATACCTAGGTGAGAGAGGAGGAGGACGAGGTGGACGCAGAGTCCGTGCTAATCTTCTCTGTATTGTTCCCAATCCTCCTCCGTTTCGTGACTTTGGGAACGATACAGAGAAGATTAGCACGACCTCTGCGCAAGGATGACACACACAAAATTTAATCGGGAAAAGGTTGGGAAAAAAAAAAAAAAAAAAGCTCAATAGATTTGTTACCTGGGTGGGAGAGGAGGAGGACGTGGACGACGAGGGCGACGAGGAAGGGGAGGAGGA